AAGGGGGAGGTAGGGAGGTAATGTGTAAGTTTGAGTAATTATGTGTGGAGGGGGGGGATTGTGGGTTAGTGGGGAGGCGGGGTGGGGGTAGGAGAGAAGGAGAAGTGGGGGAAGGGGTGGAATGGGGATTCCAGGTAGCAAGAGGAGGCGTTGGGGGTTTAGGAATCGAGAAGAGGGGTGAGAGGTAGAGGGAGATGAAGGAGTATGTTCGATGAGGAGGGTGTGGAGATGAAATGAGTGCGAGTAAGATTGTGAGGAGCGCCCACAAAGTTTCGCCTGCGATACTGGTTGTCATACCCTATTGAGGGCCGAAAGGAGTGTTGTTCAAATGGGAGGTATCCATGGCAAGAGGGGATGGAGGAATTCCTAATAATTGGATGGAATCAGAGAGGTGGAGAGAGAAATCTGGTGATGATAAGAATTGTCACATATCTATTTATTGAGAACTAGGATGTTGTAGAGTTGGAGTCGGATAAATATTATTAAAGAAGTGGGGTCTTTTGTCTTTTTGTATTAACTTTGGTGGCTTTGTGCTAGTGTTAGTAGGGTATTCGTAAAGGCCTAAGGGTTATGGGCGTGGGAGAGAAGGGTAGAGATGAGGATAGTGGGATGTTAAGGAACTTATTTTCTCTATTCTTTGTGTAGGCTTTTTTGTTTTTATGTTTTATAAATATGTTTTTTTTTTAATTGCTGTTTTCCATGAGTACACTCAGGATAATATCTATATTTGTTAATAATTAATTAATTGTATAATACATATATTCATTCAGTTAAAAAAGTAGAGAAAATAGTTATAATGAAAAATGCGTTTATATTGTAAATTTTAATTCTTTGTACATTGATTGTTTTATTGTTTACGACCTTGGGTTTAATGAGCTCAGTCCTGTGTTAGATACAATATTGTAGTTCCACAGGTCTTTTTTGCTGATCAGCTGCCGACTAATTATGTCATGAGAGAATGGTTTATATTGTATATGTCCTATCTATCAGGGTGTCTGTCTTAATTGGCTTGTTATTATATTTTATTTAAGTTATAATATGCAGTAATAACCATTTCTCGTGGTATTTGTTTTTTTTTGTGTCATAAGAGGAAAAATACTTGATTTTTTTTTATTAAGATTTTGTTTTTGTACGATGTTTTTTAATTTATTTTACATTGTGTTTTGGATCTTATCGCCATTCCTGCCGCTAAAATCTTCCCTTCATGTTTATAATTTGTATATTTTCTTGACTTGAGAGTAAGTTTGTTGAGCATACTGGTGTGTTAGTCAAAGCAAACTAGATCTATTCGGGGATTGGTTGATGAAATACGAGAGAATTACAACAACGGGTACTTAAGTCTTTTCTGGTGTAATTAGTGCTTGCGTTCCCTTTGGTGAGAGTGAGAGTAGGGTTTGACGTTTGGGAGTTGGTGGGCAGGAATGTGTTGAGAGGGAGGTTAGTCAGATGTGCAGTGGGGATGCCGAGTATGTGTGCGGGGCAGGACTTCGCATATATGCGGATGTTTGCACGGGTGTTGTGCTGTTTTGTAGGGCTTTTTGTTCTGTGGACGAGTTGCTTGAGGATAGGGGATCTTCGGGGCAGTTTGTGATGGTTCAGCGATAATGACTGATAGTTTTTACGGTCTGACAAATTTTAAGTATAGAGGGTCTTCTCTTCATATTTACTGATTTGGTTTTATGTGGACGTTATGCATAAACGTCTTCAATTATTTCTACAATTTTTTTAACTAGAGTATTTTCCAATCGGAATACTATAAAAATTATTTATTTTTAGGTTTTATATTTTCTAGAGCGTATAATTTTTGGTCATAAACTTTGTATACATTTATAATGTTTTCCTCCCCAGTGTAGTACTGATCATTTGTTAATGTTAAGCTTCTGACTATTTATTTACTCTGTACCAAGATGTACACTTACAAAACTGTTGCTTTGAAGGTTAAGGGAGCTGTGTTTGTCTTGGTAAAGCAGTAAGTGTATTCTATGAGTATAGACTACGACACACCCACTCGAAAGGCTAATGGTCGTGATGAATGTTAGTAAAAGAGAACATTTCTGTAACACCAAATCAGATTCTTGGCTTACTGCAATAATTTCTTAAGGCAAGAATCCTTCACGGAAGTTGCTAGAGAAGTCCTTACATAAGAAGGTACTGTGGCATTTTCCAAAGTATGTACAATGTGTTCTGTATCCCCTTGCCTGGTTAATTTGTGGAATTTAGTTATTCCATATAATGAATTTTTGTTTGATTTCAGGTAATTTTATTTCCGTTGCATGAGGATTGTTGCTCTTCAAGAAGAGTGGCTTTCCTAAAATCTTTAAGCACACAACCGTGTCCCAAACCAGGGCATCATGCAAACCCAAAATGCCAATCTTTCCCACCTTTTTATTATTACCGTTAGAAGGGAGGACTAACCCCCCCTTGTAGCCTCCTTTATTATGCACTCAGGCTAAACTTATAGAAGTAACCTTAGACTCTGTGAAAGTGTTTTGGATTTAGTCTCCAAGGGTTGTTGGTGTATCTGCCGTGGATACTTGCGGGCACTTTTATACCCTGACCGTGGTGGTGGAAATACTTGATGGGGCAACCGTGTCCTATCAGAGAAGCGAGTGTCATACCTCCTCTATCTCTGTGCATTGCCCTAAAATTTCTTGGCAATTATTCATGCTTGAAGGTATTTATCCTGTAAGGTTGGGGATTGATCAGTGCAGACTGCATAAGTATCATAGGTCTCGTGGGTGCCATTATGAAGTCATAGTTGAGAAGGTTATGGGTGTAATGTTTATGTCGCTTTTGAATGGAATAGGGGTCTTAGGATGACGTGAAGGTAAACCTACCCAGTAACTGTGCCTATATTAGAAATTTCCTGACTGTTAAGTTGTGGTGTGTTGACTCCTCAAGCATAGTTTTTTTTATATACTATATTCAAGGATTATTAGATTAAATTATGAGTACATTTTACTTTGTATGCATTGAGCCCCATCAAAAGAGAGAAGAAAAAAGTTATATTCAGATATTTTTTGCAAGTCAAGATCCAGTGTTGTTTTTTTAGCAAGCATATGATCTTTTTCAAATATGTAACATAATCCTATAACTGATAAAGACTAATGTAAGGTATTTGTTTTTTAATACTATTTAATTGTTCATAAGAGGGTATTTTGCTTGATATCATTTATTGGATAAGTTAGGACCAGAGACGTGCAGAAATTGTATGCGTGAACTATGATAGTGTCTTTTTTTTTATGTTTTTTTAGTTTTTATGTTTATCGGTTCATTATGCTAGCGCGGCGAGCGGGGCCTGGGTTAATTTGGTGGTATAGGTGCGCGGCAGTGAGGGTGGTGGAGTAGAACCAGACCAGAAGTGCGACCAAGGCACAAAGTTATGGTGACTGCGGGGTAAAGATTTTTAGAGTGTTGCGGTATCTGTCGAGTCACTTACTGCGGGGGGAGGTAGAGATCACCCCGAAGGAAAGGTAGGTCTGTGGGGTATGCGTGGGTAATTAGATGAGATGAGTGGGAGGTTTAGTGCGACTCTTTAGCTGAGTTTAGACCTGTATAGTTTGTGTGGTTTCATCTGTGTGTACTCTGTTTTGATAGTTGGAGCCCTTATCCATCGCTGATACAGAATGTTTATGTAGCAGCAGGGTGATGACTTTAAAATGATTCCAGATTCACCATGTCGACTGCCACAGTACCAGTAAATGACCAGAAAAATTCCATGTGCTCAGCGGGGCAAAGATGAAGACACACATGGGACTGGGAGTTCGCAGTGCACAAGCAAGCCAAAGATTCTATTTGGTTTGCTTCTTCATAGCTTCACTCCTTTGCTGGCTGCGTCCTCCCTTCTTGTTAGTGTTGCCGTCTGTCGTTGTGAAGAACTATAAAGTAAGAGAAGTATAGAAAAATAACAAAGCTTGAATACAGTTGCGCGTTTTTTCGGGATTTTGTGGGAATGTTTGATAATTCAGAAATTGGATATGATTAAGTGTTATCACAGTTTTGCGGACGGTGCAGATATATGAAGTAAGAAGTGATAATGTTATTAATAAAGTACCATTTTTTTGTTGATATATTCTTTATTTTTCGATTTGATTCGCATTTCTCTCTCTTCCTTTCTCTATCTATTCTCTCTCTCTCTCTTCTTTCTCTCATCTTTCACTTTTGTTTGCTAATCTCTACCAGTGCATTCCTTGTCCTTTCTCTTTCTGCATTGTGTACATCTTTTCATTCTTGCTCTCTGCTGGTTACTTTTCTTCTGCTGACTGTCTGTCAGTTCCTTTGCTGGTAGTCCTTACCTCTCTTAGACAAATCGGCCGACTTGGCGCCACACGCCGCGCGTGCCGTCTCCGCATCCTCTAACCTTCTCCAGAATCATCCCTTACAATAACCTTATTGTTGGTTGGGTCGCGTGGCACGTACTTATTATACCTAGTTTGAACGACGCCGAATTCATTTCACAAGGTATCTCCAGCAGGTCATCTTCTTAGTCGACCGGGTGATTATGAAGTTCAGGCAGACGTTTCTATATATCTCTTATCATAAGCATACTTTTGTGTGGAGGGACATTTCGCTATTACCGCATGGATTAATCTGAATAATAAAAAAGAAGGAAGTGGAGAACAATGGAAATTAAAATAGTGCAGTGATAGAAGACACAAAGCAGACAGTCCTTGCTACAGTGTAAGCTAAAATTATGCTGCAATTTCCCTTGAGGTTCATTAGTACATATTAACTAACCCTACCCCCTTTTTATGCTTAGTGTCTCATGATTTTTTGGCACAGATTAAAAAATTAAAAATTAAAAAAACTTTGTATATTGAAGTATGTATAATGTCACAAAATTCATATGAACTGAAATACAAACTGCTATGTAATCTTTTTAATGGTCATGCAGGCATACCTGAATTAATATGCATACTTACAACTTTGTGAAATTCAGTGTGACTGATGAGTTCTATATAAATTGATGTGAATGGAACAATCTCAATAAACCAGTGATAAGAAGCAATTATTCTTGATGTTCCACAGCCATGCCACAGATAATACAGAAACCCAACGCAGATCTGGAGCCTGAGTTCTTCCCAGAGATCAAGGAAAAGGAAGGTGAGAAAGGCCGAGTCAGTCAGTTTAGATTGTGGTAATATGGCCAGTGTTAATTGGATAATGTGTCTTCGTGTTCTTGGGTACCTTATTTAGCATGTAACCATTTCATTGGTTTCTTGGTGTTATTTTATATTTTTTATCCGTTATTGTTTCCATTGATAATTTTTTTTCCTTCATATTTGTTCATATTGAGAACAATTATATTGTAATTTCAAATGATTCCTTCTGTTCCTTCCCCCCCAGATTACTCCGACATCTTCCCAGCCTCGCTTAACTTGTCAGACCAGCACATCAGCAAGCTCGTCAGATTCTGGGAAGTGTGCAGACGACCCGAGTTGAGCAGCCTCTCTCCTTCTAAGATCCCCAAGTCACCCCCGAGGTCATTCTCCCTCATGTCCACCATGAGAGGTAGGGTCTTAGAACTGTATTGCGTTCCATCTTCATCCCAGTATTGCCAGGAGGATGTAGTGGTCACTCTAGTAATTTGTGTAATGTTTCAAAGACTGCTCCACAAGTGTTTAGTCAATTAGTTGACCTTGTGACCTCACCTAATTTCCTTTACTTGTTTTTTTTAGGGGGGAAGAGGTTACTTTCACTAATGCTATCAGTATTGGTGCTGATATTATTGTAGGCATTATAATTATAAGAAGATAAAAGAAAGTATTTTATAAAATCAAGGAAAAGGGTAAACAGGTGAGGTAGGTAGTACTAGCAATTTGCGCATTGGTGACTTAATTACTGATAGAGCCATCCATGTGTAAAGACTGTTAATAAATTAAACTCGGTGGTCCTGACATGTACATACATGCCATCCCCAGTGCCATCAAATAAAAAAAAAAAATTCTCCCCCTCCCTCCCTCTTTATTCCTTATTTCCTTTCTCTCTTTTCATGCTCTTTTTCAAAAAAAAAGAAAAAAAAATCCTTTCACTTAGTAGGGAAATGTTTAAAATCCATTCATTTGGGGATCTATTACCTTGATGGTTAGTGAAATCTATTACAAGACCACAATCTTGGCTAGTCAGATGTTAACAATTATTTGGGTTATTACATCCATTACTGTCATAACTAAATTATCTGAATATTAACAAGTGTGTGTTGTAAATATGTAATTATCATGATACTCCTCTCTTCCACAGAGCCTGAAAAAGTGAACAAGTTGGAACCGGTAATGGGGGAAATATTTGACCTTCCTCCACCATCCTGGGAATAAGTGTGGCCCGAGACTGATCAAGCATCTTCATTTTTATGAATGATTTCCCCACCCCTTCTATGGCATCTTTATTCTGAATATAATAAAAGTGACAAAATTGAAACCTTTACATATGTTTTCTCTTTTTAAATTGTTTTTTAAAGGACTAGGCCAATTTTTCTGGAAAATGCAGGTAGTTGTAGTAGGATATCCCACACTTTTTTGTTCGCATTTACAAGCTGCATTTTTCATAGGCGTATATGTATTTATCTGTGATACTCCTTTCCAAAAGTTTTCCATTAGTATAAGTGCACCTGAAGTATTTTATAGTCGGGTGAAAGAAGGTTCTGCAGTGCCGTGTTGTCAGCATGGAGTATAAGGTTACACTTTTTGATATGTGAAAATTATATCTACATGTTTTTGTTTTTAATAAAACTCCAAAGAAAAAAAATACATGAAATGTAAGTTTTATTCCCTTCAGCTTCATAGTAATATATTGTAAATTAGAGAATGTTTTTTACTGACAAAGTATATGCTTGTGTTATTGTGTTTTGTCAAATAAAAGTCATGAAGTGAGATTTGGTGAAAACATAAACCAAAGTGCTAAACATCTAGTCCTGTGATTTTCAAAGTAGAGGGTAGGAACCATCTAAAAGGGCTCATTATTGTAAATAAATACAAACATCTGGTGTAAATGTTTGAATTACTCTCATATAGGCCTATATCGTTGTAAAGGAAAGCATACTATTTTATTTAAACCGATTTAACATTCTGCTGTTATGGGATAGAAGGAAGGGGACCAAGGATTTATTAAATGTCAAAAATGTGCAATATACGGAAAAGTCCCCCAATCCCTTGCTCGTTGTTGTGGGGATTAGGAGACAGGGATAGACTTGAGACCCAAGGGAAGCAATTGACCCTATCTTGGGGCTCAGCCACAACTAATTTTGTCTGGTCTTTTCTTCTCCCCCTTTCCTTTTTCCTCTTCATCCCCTTCTGTCCACTAAGGTGTGAGCTGTGCTGAAAGAATGAAAGGCTTGCTTTGTGTCAGTTATGAACAGCCTCTAGGAGCCATGGGCAAAATATTCCCTTGATTAATAGCCTAACCCTTACCACTCCTGGAGACCCTGAAGGATAGACTGTTTCTTTTCCCAATATATTTACATGCAACGTCTTTATCTCTGTCCCACATATCCTAATATCTTGCCCTCACTTATCGAAGCCCATATCCTTACTTTCCCTCACATATCCCTTCTTCCCCAACCTCCCAACCTGTCAGACAGCCTTACAGAATCCCCCACCTTTTCTCTTGATAACTTATTCTCCTTGCTCAGAGCATAAATATCCTTCATTCGATCTAACCATCCATTGTCCTTAACCCTTCCTCTTTTCATCAATACCTATCTTACCCCATCTACTCTCTCCCTCTACTCCTTTAAATGCTATACTATCATACAATAAATGACCATCAAAAATTGACATTTTAACTCTAATAATGAACTTTAAAAACCCTCCCAACACAATACAAAACATAATGCTATATGACCTTTGATTTCTAGCACATTTATTTTCTTGTCATTATTACTTACTTCCCAATATATTTCAGGCTCACCACGGCCAATAATTGGTATTTTTACTTTTATTAGGGGCAGTAAGGCTTGTGCCTTCATCAACAAGCCTATCTAAATTTAATTTAATTGGTTTCCCGACCAGTTATACTAACACCTCAACCTTCCGAATGCACCCCGTCCTCTCTCCCAACAGTCTCCAATCATCTCTACTGCAGTCTTCATTTTCTACATCCTCCCCCCTCATTATAAGACTTCATCCATATTGTCCTCCTCCCCACATTAGTACATATACCATCTTCCCGCCCTCGTCTATTGCCTCTACCTCTGCCAAAGTTTTGAGTACTCGATTCTTCATGATTTCTCCAACAACTCCTTACTATGCTAATACCCTTCTCTTCCAACAATGTCCCCAAATACAAGTAGGCAAAGTTTCCTTTCGTAGTCGTTCCGCTCCTTCATACCTTGTCAGGGTTACATCTGGCCCAATATTGCCAAGATTAGCCTCTGTAGACGTGACCTCCCCAATAATATTTATTTTGGTGGAGTGCCCTTCCCTGCCGACCATATCGGCCCCTTCCTCGTTAATGTCAAATGTTGGCGTCTGGCCACCTAGTCAAACACTTACTTAACAGCCCGCTGCCCTCTATATGCCCAACCTGGTCATGACCGTTCAAATTGCTCTGCTCAGTCACATGTGTGCCAATTGTGACGACTCCCATAATGTATTTTATAGGAGCTGCCCTCCCTATAAACTCGAATCGGGTAGCAGTTCTCAGATTCAAACTAGGCCTCAAGTAAGGCCAGACAGGAAGCACACAGACAAGATTTCTTTCTCTCTCTACCTATTCCAAAACCTCCTTCGCTCTGCCCTCTCCTATCTTCTCAAGATGTCTCCGTATCCCTTCCCTCTACCCGAACCATCCTACCTTTACTCCTCCTCTCCTTCAGTCAAATTCCATGTGCCGTCTAATCCAGATACTCCAATCTCTACCACTTCTCCGATGCGTACTCCCCCCCCCTCCTCACTTAACCTGTTACACCAGACAACCTAAACGTTCCACTCCACCCTTGCCAACTACATCCTCTCCTACACCCTCCTTTCCCTCTGCTCCTCGGATATCTATCCCCTCTTCTCCTCACTCAACTTCCCTCCAGAAACTCTTGAAGGCATCCAAGAATTTTTACTCCTACATTCAATGTATTTGCCGATATCCATCCCCCTCCTCTCTCTTCCTCCACACTTTCCCAACACACCCTATCCTCTCCTCCATGAGCCTCGTTGTTTGTTTCATAATAGCTCTTTTGCCAGTGTTATTTAAACAATGTTCCTATTGCTTCCTCAGCCATAGATACACTCCATTCTTATCCAATCGCCCCATTCACTTAACCGTTTCCTTTACTAATCTCCGCTTTACTTCATTTGTACCCCCTATTTACTCTTTTCACTACCATACTAACCTTTAACACTATAACCTTTGGCATCTAACACATTTTACTTTAATTGTTAACTATTTTTTTTTTCCTTTTCGCCAGAATTTTTTTTTACCATAGTGCTATAAGACCTTGATGTCTAGCACATTTATTTGTTTCAACCATTAACCATATTGCCAGTCAGATTATTTTTTAAAAAATCCTTAATTGCTCCTAACGCCATCCTTTCCCCCCCACCAAACCCTTTTACTTCACTTCTCCGATCTTTCCACCGACCCCAGGAGGACCACTTTGGGAACCAATACCTTAGATCTTTAAGTAATGGTCTATAATTTCAAGCCAACCTCCTCTATAATGCAGCTACTCTTTCCTCTAACATTCGCTGAAATTCATTTATCAACTCCCGTCCTTACTAGAAACATCTAAAGCATGGTATGTTTGTCTTTTCTTCATTTTTAGTCTTCCTATTCTTAGTTTCTCTACTTCCATATCTATCATTCTTGATAGACGGCACACTCTGTAAGTCTTTCTTATATTTCTTATATTTTTATTCCAATCTTTGCGCGTTTATATTCTGGTTCCCTGATGCATTCAAATTTCCGCTCGATTTCCTGCCATGTCCTGTTCATGGACATGGAAAGCTCTTCTCTTTTAAGGTATTTGAATTGCATCATTCCCTCACTAAGTCTCCCTTTCTCCACATATCTGATCTTAGTCAACAGACTTCTGTGCCAGCCTGGAATGTTTCATCTACTACTACTTCATCTATTTCATCTGTTTCCATTCACCTCACATTTCTCTGCTCTTTGCTAAAACTCCTTGGCTCCTCGTTTTAGTTTCCATAGCTTTATTCACTTCACCCTAATATTTTTCTGGCTCTTCACATTGTTGATCACATATTTGCATACACCATTCTGTTCTGATTCACGCAAAAGTTTCTCCTGGCACTGTCTTGGACTCAAACATCCCAACCCCATGCTCTTGAATCCCTTTGTCTCTTTCAATGGACCAAGTATGATCTAAACCTTCATCATTGTTCCTTTGTGTTCTTCCACTTCTATCATACGATCATTCTGTTTTTTTGTCATTATATAAACACCATTCTGTGCTAGAATTTGTACTTCTCATTGCTACTAAATGAAGCTGCAATGATCATTCTGTTTTTTTGTCATTATATAAACACCATTCTGTGCTAGAATTTGTACTTCTCATTGCTACTAAATGAAGTACATCCTAATCCTGCAATGAGAGTCTTGCAAACACCACATGTTACCTCTTCTCTTTACTAGCGTTTCTACCACTTCTCTGCCATATACAGTACACACTCAGACGACGTCTAATATTCCAATATTGTTCTCCAAGTTCGGAAAAGCAAAAAGCAAAAGTACTCATTGTATTCAGGAGGCGTGCTAAACTACGGAATACGCGCATCCCCTTAGTGAAGTCATGGATGTTTTCGTGGGGATGTCCTCACTTCTGGAGCTAGCTCAGTACTTTTTCTCCTGTGGTCTTGCCCTGATTGTTACTTACCCTGCTCCATTGATTTCATGACGGAGATTACTGTCAATCCTTTCCCAACTTCAAGGGAGCGTGGAAGTCGTCCAGGCTTTGTTGAGTCACACAGGCAAGTTCACTCTACAGTTCCATGTGGGAAATTGTATGACAGGGATCCAGCCCTTGTCCATGGCGGTCAAGAACTGCTTTTAAGTGTCCGTTTCTTCAGAGAGAAGGCAGCATCTGTAGGCTGTTTTGTTAGGAAAAGATTCTGTGGTACTCTTAGAATATAGATGAAAGCTCGTTTGTGTGTAGAGGTCTTTTTAAGAGGAGGATCATTTCCCTCAGGAAGAAACTTTCTCCTTATTGTTCTATCCCCATACATGATGGCCTAGGGAAACAGGAAATGAGTTTTGCATTTTTCGACTGAAACACGTTTTTTTCTGCTAAAAGAAGTGAGGCTATAAAAATACCCTTTTGTAACAATTGGGGCATGCCATTCTCTTCCATTTGTACTCGTTGTGTGTCTTGAAGCACACATTGCTACTAAGTGGTTTGGTACAGACGCTGTCTCCTAATAACTAAGCTCAGTCTAGTTGGATCATCTTAAATTTCCTGCCCTCATAGTCAGAGCGGAGAAGCTTTAGGTCCTTCCTTATGTGAGCTCCTTTGTCTGCAAGAGGGACTTCGGTGTGTCCTAGTCCTTGGGGGTAACGATCATACTCTGATATTTAGAGGAACGAATTGATAGTGAGAACCTCCTCAGGGTTTGTAATGCTTTACCATCAAAAAAAAAAAAAATATATATATATATATATATATTGTCATGGTCCCTATGTTTAGAGGTAAGCGGGACACGTGGCTTTGGGTTTCAGACTCTCTTAAAGTCTGTTGTTGGCCTGAATTTTGTGACTGTTTTACCGGACCTACATTGGGGTCTTGCGTGTGGAAGCTGCA